TGCTCATCCTCCTGCTCTCCCTGCTCTGCTGCTGCTGCGTCTGCCGCAAGAAGGACGAAGCCCGCGGGTGAGTGCCGGGGCTGGGTGGGCTCTCACCGGGCTCTTCCACAAAGCCTGAGCAGCGGAGGGGAGCTGTGGGTCTGGGAGAGCTGGGGATACGGGTGACCAGTGCAGGGCTGGGACTGGTGGGAGGATGCAGGAACTGCACTGGGACAGCAGTGCTGCAGGGAAACTGAGGCAGGGCAGCGCTGCCCTCCTGGCACCATATGCCCTGTGGGTCCCCAAGGTCTGAGCAGGTCTCGCTGCATCCTTAGGGCAGCACTCAGCCGGGGGACTGACTGGAGGGACACAGGGTGAGCCCTGCCGTGGGGACCCCCGTCCCCCTCTCCCTGACTTTATTTCCCTCTCGTGGGCCATCATGTCATGGAAACCCACCAGGTTCCCTCCAGTCTCTGGGGGCTGAAGCTGATCTGCGAAGGGAACCCTAAAATACAGTGAGGGTATCAAGTTGTGACCAAGCTCCCCAGAACAAACCCTTGGGCCATGGGGTGGGACCTGGGGGGGTGATGGGCTGCATCACTGCCAGCTGTCCCGCACAGAGACATTCGGAGCAGGGAGGGCAAGTTCCTGCATTAAGGTCAGGATGCCGGCAGCATTTTGGCAGCACCAGGTGACATCCCGCCGTGGAGACAGGGATGGGGACAGCCACATTGCAGGGCAGGAAGGCTTGTGCTTCTCGGCAAGGGATGAGCGAGCTGTGGGAGCTCCTCTGGCTGCAGAGAAAGCCCCCCCTGATGCCACCAGCCACTGCACAGGAATTTTCCAGAAGCCTCCCTTTGCAGCCCTACCAGTTCAATCCCAGCCCAGCACATCTGGCTTGGAGAGCCTGGGGGCTGCGTGTAATTATCCCGCAGATAAAAGCACACATGCAGCCCTGCGTGAAGAAGTATTGCACAGGAAGAGGGGAAATGGCTCAGAATAGTTTCCTCTTTCCCAGGGTGCCCAGACCTCTGCAATGTTCCCGACACAGCTGGGTCACCACGGTCCCTTGCCAGAGCATCCTGAGGGACCGTGGTGGCAGTGGGCACATTGCAGGTTGCCTCGCATCAACACACAAAACCGCTCGCTCCTGTGGCTGCAGATAATTGCTTGAAAACTTGGCCCGGGAGGCTTCAAAACCAGAGAGCAAATAAAGAGAAGCCACGTGTTTGTTTTTGGGTTGGGATGATTTTTTTTTTTTTTTTTTTTTTAAGATTCAGGGTCTTGGCCTGGCATTGCGGGTGTTTTGGGGACAGGCTGCCAATGGTCGTGGCCAGATCTGGCCTTACCACCATCCCCTGACACTGCTCTGCATCCTGGCACGGTGCAAGATGGTACCCGGGGCTGACAGCAGCCCCGGCAGGTCCCTGACCCTCTGTGCCCTGGGCACCCCCTGTTTTGATCTGCCTCATTATCTTTCCCCAAACCTCTTTGCGTTTGCAGCATCCCCGAGCATCTAACTCTGTCACCCCGTGAAGGCTGTCCCCACCGCGGGGCGGATGCTGGTGCCTCTCTGATGGGACCATCACCTTCTCTTGCAGCTCCAGCCAGGACCCGGCAGCAGCCAAGAAGCCGCCGAGATGCTTGTGCGGGCGTTTTAGTCGGATCAGCATGAAACTCCCACGCATCCCCCTCCGCCGTCAGAAGTTGCCCAAGGTCGTGGGTAAGGTTCTGGGGTTTGGGGAGGGGGCAGAGGGCCAAACCTCAGGGCCTTTACTCCTGGCAGGGCAGCGCACATGACACACAGCATCCTTTCTAGCCCCAAACCCAGGGTGGTGAGCATGGCAGAGCGGTAACAGGGACACACAGGTCCCCAGGACCGTCACAATGCTTGGCAGGGGCTCAGCCCATTCTCAGTCTGCAGCTTCTGGATCTCAAAGTGCATTATTTTGCTTTGCGAGGGTGGGTACCTGGTGCCTGGAGCTCTGCTGAGCTGTTTTGTGAGGTTTTTAGGTTCCCCAGGTAGAGGAACAGTCCCTGTCACGGCAGCAAAATGCCTTATTTACCCTTTTGGTCCTTGACGTAACCCTGCCCCAGCTTGGTGTGGAGCCAGAGCATCCAAGCTGGGGCCAGAGCCCATCCCACTGCTGTGCACAGCAGAGTTGAGGATGGAGGGGCAGAGACTTTGGGTGAGCTCCCCATGCTGCCTGGGCACAAACTGGGCTTGTAGGGGGATGCTCACACCTGGCAAAGCCCCTGACCTGGAGCTCTTGGGGCTCTTGGGGACCCCCTGCATCCAGGCAGCTCGGGGACACTGTCCCCTGCACACTCCAAACTCTCCCTGCGCTTGTCCCAGCATGAGAAGCTGGGGATGTGCTGCCTCGGAGAGGACCTTGATGAATAAACCACAGGGTGAAGGCAGTGCTCCCCACTCTGTGCTGGTATGGGGCTCAGCCCCGTGCCGCGCTTCCTGAGCCCAGCTCCTCCCTGGGCGTGCAATGCTGGTGGGATGCCCTGAGCAGCTGCATCCCAGTGCACAGTGGCACAGCATGAGGCCAAATCCTCCATCCCAGGTGGGACATGGAGGTGGCCCCCATCCCAGCACGCCCTGCCCAAACTCCAGCATCAAAGCGTGGAGAACGATTCCTCACCCAGAGCACGGTGCACCGGGGCCGGATTTTTTTTGGATAACAGAGGCCATGTTTGTGGAAGGGGCCGGGCAGGGCTCGGGAAAGACAGAGGGTGCCTGTGTGCAGTGAGGGCAGGGGGGGCTCAAGGGGTCTCCCTGCACCTTCCCCACGCCGGCCCAGAGGCAGCTGGCGCCCACCCAGCTGCTCTGTGTAAACAGGGCTGCAGCAACCCTGGGAAAGGCTGAGTATGTGGTGCCGGTGCCAGAGGGATGCTCGGGATGGTCTCAGGTCCCAGCAGGGCTGGGGCTATTCCTGGAGCCTGGTTGTGGGGCTGGGGGTTGTTATTTCACTGGAGGGAAAGGCTTTGGTCAGGGCTTGCTCTGTGTTCATTGTGTTATCCTGCATGGCAGAGCCGGCCTGGGTTTCAACAGCTCCCAGTCCCTTTGGTGCATGGTCCGTCCATGCCTCCAGCCCCTGCTGGGTCTGGAGACCCCCCGGGCAAGGGGGACCTGCTGGGGTGCCTGTGGCACCTGCATCCCTGTGATGCCTGGTGACACATCAGCACGTGGTTCCACCTGGAAGCCGCAGTGACCGGTACACGGTGGCAGAGGCTGGCTGTTCCCCGCCTTTGGTCTCCCCCCGGG